GAATCATAATATAAAATAACGGTCTTTGCTAATGTTGTTAAAATTCCACATGAATAATTCATTTTGTTACTGTGATGAGCAAAACACTTTTATGGAAGATTAATGAAAGATGTTATGCATCGCCAACTGGCAATAACGTCTTCTTATGTAGCAGATCTTCATTTATAACGGGCAGGATTTTATCACAAACTGAAAGAATAACACCTTTTGAGGTTTTTAAAAAGGATTATTTTATATCGTACATCACATGTAACATAAAATTCAGCTTTTATGAATTAAACTAGCAAAGCAAATGCTCACAAAAATTATTAGTCGATTATATGATAAAATGCTATTTAAATAATAAAATATATTGATTGGGTATATAAAATGTCCAGCAAAGTGCCGGATTTAATATGCTTCCAAAATGCTTTATTTTTTGGAAAACGAAAAATATTTTTGCATGCTTAAAACAGCTAAATGTTTCGATTTAAGAATGTCGTTTGATTTCACTTCGCAACACTCGCGTTTTATCACTGTCAGTTCATTTCGCAGCTGTATTGCCACTTAGAGCGTTACGCAAACGAACAACAGGTTTTGATTGTGAAAACTCATTACAAGATATGTAAGGGGGGCATGTATAAAATTTTGTCTTCCTCTTTTCCGCAGGTCTTCGTGGAAGCACATTCGATGAGTAATCGGGAGGTCCAGTTTTCGAGTCCAGAAGAGGGAACTGCACATTTTTCACATCTCCTGCATAGAAAAATAAACCTAATGATTCTACAAGTGTTATAAACAGGCTGTAGGAAGCATCGTGCAGTATTTGGATGTGAACTTGCAGCTAATGAAACAACAGTTCGCAGATTGATAAAGAAATTTGAGGATTCATGTTCTACAGCAGACGTTAAATCACATACTCTCGTTCCAGTAGGTCTCTTGACAACATCGCTATTATGCTTGACAGTGTTTTAGAAAGTGCCAAAAAATTTTAAGTTAGAATCTAGAAAGACTCACGACAAAAGAACTCATAGAGGAAATTCAGTTTGTTATTAGCCACTTTAATAAGCAGATATGTGATAAAGTGATTACGAATTTTATCGAAAAAGTGCAGTTTGTGGAGCAAGTCGTGGAGGACATATACCAGAGATTATTTTTCATTCTTAAATCGGAACATTTACCTATTACGTAAAAATATTTTGCATCTCCCAAAAATAAAGCATTTTCTTGTTCATTTTAAATTCGGTGCTTTTGTTACGATAATCATTATGACTAAAAGGTAAAATAGAGCTGTAAGTTTTTAAGGAATACATTTATTTCCTTTAGGTTGTTTAGTTTATTTAGAATACAATATGCAAAGTTAAGTGTTCTTTGCAATCATTCATAGTATCCATATTCTTGGTAGAGTTTAAGCGAATTGACTCTAAGTAGCATTTGAAACTTAGGGTGTAAGAGACCTTTTATTTAAAACTAAATAAGAACATGAGGCACTCTTTGTCCTTACAATTCAGCCAACCACTTGTTACGAAATAACTTAAAGTAACGGTAAGTCAATTGTAAAATTTGATTTGAAATGAGCTAGGAACAGAAAGCTACACAAATCAATTTAAAGCAAAGTTGACACAAAACTTAATCGGCGTGGATATCAACTATCGGCAGTTATAACGCAAGGCCGAAGACGGCAAACCTTACCTTATCTAGCAACCTAGTAACATGGCTTCGAGAGGCAGGACACGCTCTCTGTTACATTCTAAAACCTCGCCTTAAATACACGCGAACTATATTTTCATTTTGGCGGGAAAACGGAAAAAAGAAGTGACGGTAAAGATAAAAAAAAAAATAAATAAATAAATAAAGAAACCTTACAAATCTAATGGCAACATCGAATAATGCATAGTCTGAGAATTAGCTATACTCCAAGCCGCCTGGATTGTAAATGCCTTATATAAAGCAGTATAACGTAATGATCCCAAATTTTGAATAGATTTATATATAAAATTTTTTAACGTCAAAAACTGGAGTTATGAACTCAGTAATATATTTTTTAATGGAATGTACAACTCAGCTAAATTATCGATCAAATGAAAAGAATTATTCTAGCTGTTAAGTACCTTTTTCTTAAAAATCAGCTCACCCTTTTGGCATCAGTTACATGTCATAACTTATCTAAAAAACTTGAATTAAACTAAAAATCATCTTAATGCAGACAAACATGCAGACATAATGCAGTAATGGCCAAAAATTTGTTACAGAAAAACATGCAGACATAATGAAACAAATATTTTCATCTAGAAAAACAAATGCAAAATATAAAGCGACAGACTATTCGAGTCATTCGAAGTTAGCAGATAAAATTAGCAGACGATTGTGAATATCTGATATGACTTGCGGATGGTAAAGGTGCTTCCGCATGAAAATTGCTTCCGCCTAGCTACTTTGTGTATCATCCCGTATTGAAGATGGCCTCATGCATAAAACAATCGTGAATTACTGAAGGCGTTTTCCAAGTTAAAATAAAAATTAAATGCAGAAGTTGATATATTAATATATATGTGTGTGTGTGAGAGAGAGAGAGAGAGAGAAAGAGTTGACACGTTGACGATGTTCGATAAGAAAGTTAATTAAATTATTTAAATCTCATAGCTTGATGTAACATAAAACAAATGCATTTTCTTTTAGTGTAATAGTTAAGTATGTAAGATTCCAGCTAAACTGAAGTTACTTTGTTGGCTAGAATTTTACTTGAACTATCAAGCGACTATTCGCTACGTTCAAAGTGTATCAATAACAACACGTGGAAAGAGTAAAAAGACCCTTTTATTCAACTCAAGAAAAGGATTTATAGTCGACGTTTCTTGTGTTTACAATCTGAGCCAATACTTTTGGCTGTAACTCAAAATACAAATGTAGAATTAAAAAACCAAGCTTAAGTTAAATAATCAGCCGAATCTGCACAAAAATAATTAACGCGAGTTGGCTCTTGGCCATACCGCCGACGTAGACGGAACAGCAATTAATACGCACGGCTATAAAATAACAAGCTTAAATATTAGCAAACAAGTGGCCGAAAGACAGAACACGCTCTGTCTATCATAAATCAGACACCAGCTTAGCATAACGCGCTATATCCTACTTAGCATAACGCGGGAAACTGAAATAACATTCTGGCAAGAAAGCATGGGTTGAAATTAAGAGCGATGGAAAAGGTTGCTTCAAAAATAAAACTAACTGTTAAGCAAATTAAATAAATTCGCACAGTTAAAATAAATTCCTTTATAACTTTAATGTCAGACTGCGTATTAATATTTAGAGCGAAGGATTTTATTTTCAGCACTGTAGTTTTAGAACAAACTGCATACCTTTATATTTTGGTTAGCACGTGTGCATTCTACAGTATTTAATACACTATTTCCCAGCCATTTTTGCCTCGCGATCCATATGTAATTGTTACTCAACACTATCCACATGCGTATAGTTATTCTGCGTAACAAATTCTTTGAATGTAATAATGAAATAATAATGAATAAACGTATATAACTAATTAGCAATTATTATAAAATATGAAAAAGAGTAGTTTAAAATATTTCACTGATCATCTAAAATTCTCTTGCGGCCTACGTTTTGGGAACGCAATGATATTATAACGTTGCGCGCCTCCAACTTGCACGCAACCAAGAGGTGACTGTGAAAGCTGTATAAAACACAGAGTCTTGTAAAGGGTTTAAGTCCCTTTTATTCAACGTAATAAATTACAATTGCTTCCTTACAATGCTTCCTCTTGACGCTTACAGACGGTGCCAACTCGGCAGTCAAAATAAAATAATAACTTGAAAAGAAACTAAAGACAAGATTCTAACTACGAGGCTCTCTAAAAATAACTAACTCACCGCGTTTTACAATACCGCTGCTAATTCAGCAGACTTGAAGCTCACTGGAACGATTAACACTACTTCCCGCCAAGCACATAGGCCGAAACGCGGGGTCCTTCAAATTCTCGCTAACTAACCTCCGCGCTCGCTAAGTAAGAATATCACACACCGAACTTGTTTCCTTCTATTTAAATCATAATACTTCCGCTGATAATTTGAATGCTTGCGCGTTCTACTCAAATTTACATATTCTGGCATTGGCAGTTCCAGGGGAAAGTAAGGCTTGACAGGAAAGATAGTTTAAACTTAAAATAAATGTTAGTTAAAATAAATATAAACCCTACAATATAAAGAACTAATTCTTGACCTTTAAAACTATTCTTTACATAAAATTAATCAATAGTCTAACAACAACAGACGCAATCCTTATAACATCAGCTATTAATAATTTACGAATCCATGTGTGTTTTTGAGGACTTAATTCTTACAATGATAATTATTATAATGCTTGTATAATATATTGTTGCGTTCTACCGATTCGTAGATTTGGAGTAATTGACGATAACACTTGATGAAGAATAAAAACACAATTTATTCGTTAGTCTTACACAGAAGAGTTCCGAAAACACGTTTACAGCCGTCGAAAAACTGCGATAAACACGCTGAAACAATCAGAAACACAGCATTCAGGCTACAACGGTGAAGACAACTTCACGGAAAAGCACTAAAGTACAGCTCCCGACCCGGTTCGGCCAAGCTAATCTTTGGATTAAAAACACTACTACTGAACTCTGCATACTTTTCCGCTTACAGGCAAGGTATATTTATAGCTTTAACCTACCTTTGAGAACATTCCCGAGGAAAAACCCGGTAAGAATGAGTTCTAGAATGTTCTGGTTCCGTCTATTTCAAATCGACGATTTTGTCTCCAAATGGATGATTTGACCCCAAATAGGGCAACTCTGCCTTTCTCTGCCACTTTCTGGCAACCCTAACCTCGCTTTGCGGAGAAGCTATCTCACCGCAGCTAGGCATTTCACAACAATATGCAACCAACTATTTTTACCTACATATCATAGGAAAGTTTGAATCTTAAAAAGAAAATGTAAAAAGAACATGTTCTTTTTATGACATTAAAGTTATGTTTTGCTATAGGTTAAACTGTGTGAAGAAGATACGAGACGGAGAGGCTGATATCACAAATGCTGATCCATCGGCCCTTTACTTAGGAGGAAAGTTCTTCAACCTTCGACCGCTGACAACAGAACTCGTAGATGGACGTAAGTGCATCATTACTATATTTTATTTATACTGTCGTATGACACAATGGTAGTAAGTTACATTCAGTTGGGTTATTGTTTATTTAGTTTATTTAACAAAAAAAATTAAACAAATATTTGTAAAATGTATCAGTTAAATGCATTACAAATTATATCGATCAGGTACACTATTAAAAATTAAAGGATAAAAAGTTATTTAAGTTGTACTTCTGTAGAGACATTAGGATTTTTTGGAAGCTGGAGAGATAAAAAATGAGCAAACGCCTTCACCGCGGACCTCTGGAATACCGACACAGCGTGCAGACCACCACACCACGAGGGCACGCCAAGAAGGTGGGAGAAATACCTTATATACTCCTCCTTTTTAAGGGCTACTGGAGGTTTTAGGGGACCCAATCACTAAATCCTGGGTAAGGAGAATCATCATCCAACACCCTGTCAGTTCGGGCGCCACTGTAGGGACTTGTATTTCTTTTAATCTGTTTGGCGAACATGAAGTGTCCTGATTAGATAGTGAGTTTAACTACAAACTATGTCCTATGGAGTGTAGCAAGGATGACAAGATGAGAAGGGTTAAATTACCCTTTATTTTCCACGATGTTACAGGCGCTCCCGCACTTCGGGATACAAAGATCAGCCACTTGTGGTCTGAACGTAAAAATATAAAACTACTAACTAACTAAAAATAAGAGTTAACTTTGAGTGCCTTACACAAATGGCTAACACTAAAACTTGCCTTTTAAATTACTACGTATGTACTACGCAAACTGCGGAAAACTACAATACGTCTTTAGCTTTCAAGAGGAATAAAACTTCTGGCCTTAAAAGGCAGACAGCAACGGATTGAAGCTCGCGTGAAGTATAGTCACAAGAAGGCTCACACTCTCCCCATCTAACTCTGCTCTTGGCAAAAAGCCACAAGTTAAATACTTAAGCGTTAGCAGGCTCATACTCTCCCCATCTAACTCTGCTCTTGGCAAAAAGCCACAAGTTAAATACTTAAGCGTTAGCAAGTACAATTTTCATAAACAAGTTAACGAGTTTATTCTGGCCGGAAGTGGAAAATAAGAAATGATAGTAAAGTTTTAAAACAAAATAAACGTTAATCAAACTTAAGATCCTTACACTTTTTTTTTTTTCCCCAAAATACTCAGTCTAGTGTTCAGCTAAAATTATTTGCACTATAATACTGAAAGATGAACTAATGTCTTTTCCTGCAAAGACTGGCAACAGTTTTCAGATAAATACGATTCTTGCTTAGATTCTCATTCAGTAGGGAAATTCTTTGGATTCAGTTTCAACATTCTATTAAGACCCAACATTACATCAGCTTAAAACGACGCACATTAAAGCACTTGCAGTTTTAATAAGCCGACATAACACAGTAGAAGTACTTTGTTCCGCTAAGAAAGCACAGTCTGATTGCTTGATAAGGTAATTCTTAGAATTCAATAGCGATATTTTGTAAACTGTTATAACAATATCTTTGATTAAAAGCATTCAAGACTTTTATCCATAGGATAATACAGAAATAGCTATACGACAATATAGAAACGTATTGTTGAGTTTTTTATTCTGACACCAGTTGTTACGTTATTTTCTTCCTTCACGTTCTTACGGCGTTTGAGGATTTGGAGTGAATAATGACGATACTTGATGAAAACACACTTTATTTAGCCAATGATAATCAGGACAGCTCAAAATTAACGTTTTACAGTCGTCGAAGATCTCCCATGAAAACGCTGGAACAATCAGCGACACAGCCTTCACACTGCCAGGCAATAGGAAGCAGACAGCTTCACTGCAACGCACCAAAGTACAGCTCCCGACTCTGCTCGGTCGTTCTCGGAACTCCACGTACTCTCGAGATTATCCACGCTACAACACGCGATGCACTCGAAGACAACACAGAGCACAGCTCCTGACTCTTCGGTTCAGTCGTTCCCGGGGCTCAACTCGCTCTCTCGACAATGCACTAACCGCGATACACTAAAAGTCTCTTTCGATGCACTCAACGACCCATTCGGCACTCGCTGCCCAGCTGTGACCTCGATCGACTCCTCAAGGACTGACTAACTCTCTCGCACTCTAGACGAAACACTCTCACTCGCCCTCTCGACGAGACACACACACTCGATGAGAGACACACACACACTCGATGAGAGACACACACACACTCACTGACTGCGGACCAGCAGGGTTTATATAGCTTTCGGCTTGTGTTCGAGAACATTCTGGCTTAAATCGGTAAAAATGCGTTCCAGAAAGTTCTCCATCCGTCCATGGTACATCGCCAATATTGTCGCCAAATGGGCGATTTCTCGCCAAATGTGGAAATTCTGCCTTCCTTTGCCATTTTTATGGCAACCCTAAAACTGCTTTGCGGGGAAGCTATCTCACCGCGCCTGTACATTTCGTCAACAGTATATATACTTTCCACGTTTTAATCCAAAGGTTTAATATCTGCCTGTTGGGCATTCGTCAGGGCGATTTTAACACTTCGCAGTCTCGGCATTGAGAATGTTACCTGGCTTGCATGTTACGTGAGTAATATATCCGTAATAGTCGGAGAAGACAACTGTTAAACGTCAACACAATCTCTCTTTTACTATGGTTCCTCTAACTATTCCTATTCTAATTAAGAACTGTTTCCACTAACCATCATGTCAATTATGTTGCAAAAATATATTTTAACTGCTTTTATAGTATACTTCAATTGTTCAGAATATATTTATCCAAACTCTTTTTTTTTATAACCATTGAACTTTCCTATACCAAACAGCTCATAGTACATACGTTTTTGAGTTACATCAATGAGCCAAAGAAATCAACAGCGACGGTGCCTTTCTATTTATTCTAAAGAAGAATATTTTTGTTTTATTTTCACGGAATTTAAATTATTTTAATGAATTAAAACCCGTATCTTGTTTTTCAGAACCTTTCAGGTACCAAGGAATAGCTTTGGTATCCAAAAACTCGGATATTCAGTCTGCTAGAGATTTACAAGGTAGACCGTCTTGTCACACTGGTCTTCGACGGACAGTCGGTTGGCAGATACCTGTCGGAAAGCTCTTATCGAAAAATGTCATGCGACCTGATTGCGAAGAAGGGGAACTAGGTGCAGTTCAAAAATTCTTTAATGGAAGCTGCTTGCCTGGCAAATGGTCAACTGATCCTATCCTAGATTCAAGTTTAAGTAAGTTTAATATTTATTAATATAGTTAGAGGTCCACTTGATAGGTTTTTAACACCTGTGATTAGTAACTGCAGTTTTCAGTGGTAAATATAAATCTCACTGCCTAGTAAAAACGAACAAAGAATGTAATAATTAATAACGAAGAATACAATAATTAACAAGAAACTGATTGGTAATAGTTATTACAACAATGAATGCATAGTATTGGCGCATTTGTAAGCCAACGAATCTCGCCAAATGATCGCCTCCTACGATCAAGGCCATCTTGGTGGGAGATGTTTTGTCTCCCATCAAGAGGGCCTTTCTACGATTGAGACAGGGAGAAAAAAAAAAAAAAAAAAGAAATCTAACCTGAGTTGAGCAATTACTTGCAACCGAAGCTCACAATTAAATTGTATTTTGCTTCACTGTAAATATTTGCCTACGATGTTTTTCTTAACAAAATAATTAAAAAACGAAGCAATCCTCGAAAAACGAAACAAAGCTAGTCCGTCAATAAAAATAAACTTTAAGAGAATTAAATTTATTCACATAGCTAATCATAAAATGTCGAAAGTACAAGAAAAAAATTCTGATATCGCAGATTTTAATTTGTAAGCATGTAATAAAGAGATTATAAGCGGTCGTTTATTTCCCTTCACTTGCGGTCAATATGGAATTACATTCGCTTGGGTCTTAGTATAATAAAATTCTGTATTGCCTCAATGTTCAGTTTTTGAAGACAATAAAAACGTGGATGAACTCCCCGAGAAATAAAATAAACTTTTTTCGATTATATTTAATATCAGAGCGCCTTTTTATTTCCTTGCACGATGTAAAGGAAGTATAGTAATCACGAAACTGTATTTTTGCCTTTGTCGTGAAGGGAGAACTGAATTAATTGAAAATAATATCTCTAATGAAATTCGATTAAATAAGCTTAAATGAAATGCAGGAAGAAAATGCGTATAATTTAATATCACAAGGAAGTCATGTGGTGCACACATCAGATTTTTTAAAAACGTAAAGGATAAAGTAGCATTGCTGAAGCTGCTAAAATGAAACTAAAAAATAAAAACCACTAAGATGTTTTTTAAATTCTGAACTATGAAAACACAGTTAAAATTCTGGATTGTTGCGTGTTGAGGGAAGGGATATCATCTTGAAAAAACGACAGAAGTAAATAGTCACTTTTATTTCAGAACAATCTACAAGTACAATGGTATATTATTATATGTAGAGATATTAATATGCCACTGTGAAATTATAATCATTAGTTTTAACTAAAATCTTGCCAGGACAAGGTATATATATTTTTTAATGAATGAATACAAAGTAGTTCAAAAATTAACCCAAATGTGTGCTGAAAGCAGAAACAAGTGGTAGTAATAATGGAAAATAAATTAAAATAAATAATACGCTCAAAATTTATCCCATATCCAATTCGGAAAAAACCCATATGAGGGAAAAAAAAAAAAAGATAACCAGAAGTGCAGTGGCAAACTGCATGAAAGGGGCAAAAAAATGCCAAAACTAAAAACGAAAAAACAAATTTACGTCTTTCGTTGCATCGTCATTAGGTGGTTGGTGGAATGAAATAAATTAACTTGTTTCTGAAACCAACAAAGATAAAATTAGTGTCAGAAAATCAATCGAAATAATCTGTGTCTTCATCAGTCCAACCCCTATAAGCCGTATTAAATACAGCAAAAATTTATAAAATTATAGTGTTAAAGCCGAAAACAAGCTAATAATTATTGAGCCGACCGAGTTTAAAAAACAAAGCATGCAAACTACAGGTAATCCAATGCGTAAAATAATAATTGCATATGAAAAATTTAAAATCTTACAAGCCGGAGTAAAAAAAAAATATATAGTGTCAAAGTTTTTAAAACGAAAAAAAGTATCTTTATAGTAATAATTACTTTCTGTTTAAGGCGTGTGTGAATTGGCCCTCGTGGAGCAAGTGTTTAGCACATCCAGCCAACAACCGGAAAATCTGGATTTCGAATCCTGACGAAAGCACAGTGATTCTCATGTTTTTTTTTTTTTTAGTCCAAAGGGATTTGAATCCCGAAGGACTATTAGTTTCGTTTTGGCATTTTGCGTCGGACGGATAAATGTCGGTTCACTTTTCAAACTGTTGCCATAAAATGTTAGAGTCCTGCATTATATTTGAAGAAATTAAATAATGAAAATCTGCGTAAATGTATGTATATTTCTCACATTGTCATAAAATAACGGTACATAGAGTCATCGAATTTTGAATAACGTAATCCTCCAACGAATATGAGCATGTGGAAGACCAAATTTGAAATTTGAAATTTGTTTTATGATCGATTTCCTATTTTTTAAAACTTTGACGAATTTTTGATTAACAAACTCAAGGATTTCAAAGCGAGCAATGGCAACGTTGTGCAGAAAAAAACATTTTTATCTCCAGCGCGTGAGTCTCTGTATCGGAAATTCTAAAGATATGCTCGTTTTAAAACTATTTTGCGATATATTTGTTGCACTGGATCTTATGGTTTAAGTGCGAGGAACATGATATTTAATAAAGAAAGGTAACACACAAAATGTTAAAAAACGCCCCTTTGGACGTAATTTAAAATCTGAAACATTTCAGATTTTTTTTTTTTTTTTTTCCTAAAAAAAAAACCTTATTACCTCTACGTGTTTAACCTAATAGTCTCTATTTGTGTCAAGCAACATTAAATCCCCTCATGTTAAAAACAATGATAATGGTCTAACGGTATAAACAACGCATTTAAAAGCAAAACTAAGTAAATCTAAATATCATATTTTGAAGAATTAAACAGTAAATGTCATTTTTAATATAAACGTTAAGAAATAAGCAGATTATCTCTGTACATGTTAAAAATGTTTAGCCGCACATACAGATGGAGGACAAAATAATAGGAACACCTGTGAAATAA